CATCAAGCATTATGTCTGTTTTAGAGACTAAACAAGCTTCCATCATTTTCCACCAATGTGTTCCTGTTCCTCCCAAACATCTCACATCTTTATCAATGAAGCTGAGTGCTCCACATCTCTGCCTTCATGGAGCCCATCTACATTAAGATCCACAAATTTTGAGATTAAAGTTTTAGTATTAAACTGAAATAATATTCAAAAATCAGTTAACTTTTTGTCCAGAATTCTGACTAAATTCTGACAATAAAAAAGTCAGAATTCTGAGAAAAAAGTCTAAGTTCTGAGAAAAAAGTTAGAATTTTGACTTTTTCCCATACTAAACTGAAATAATATTTAAAAATCAGTTAATCTTTTTTTCCCCAAAATTCTGACTAAATTCTGACAATAAAAAAAGTCAGAATATTGACTTTTTCCCATACTAAACGTAAATAATTTTTAAAAATCTGTTAACTTTTTTTCCAGAATTCTGACTAGATTCTGACAATACAAAAAGTCAGATTTTAGACTTTTTCCCATACTAAACTGAAATAATATTTAAAAATCCATTAATCTTTTTTTTCCAGAATTCTGACTAAATTCTGACAATTAAAAATTCAGAATTCTGAAAAAAAGTCAAAATTCTGAGAAAGTCAGAATATTGACTTTTTCCCATACTAAACTGAAATAATATTTAAAAATTCGTTAATCTTTTTCCCCCCCAGAATTCTGACTAAATTCTGACAATAAAAAAGTCAGAATTCTGAGAAAAAAAAGTCAGAATTGTGACTTTTTCCAATACTAAACTGAAATAATATTTCAAAATCAGTTAACTTTTTTTTTCCAGAATTCTGACTAAATTCTGACAATAAAAAAAGTCAGAATTCTGAGAAAAAAGTCAGAATTTTGACTTTTTCCCATATTAAACTGAAATAATGTTTAAAAAATCTGTTAACTTTTTTTTTCCAGACTTCTGACTAAATTCTGACAATAAAAAAAGTCAGAATTCTGGGAAAAAAGTCAGAATATTGACTTTTTCCCATACTAAACTTAAAATAATATTTAAAAATCAGTTAACCTTTTTTTTTTCCAGAATTCTGACTAAATTCTGACAATGAAAAGGAAAGAATTTTGAGATTAGTCAGAATTCTGTGAAAAAAGTTAAAGTTCTGAGAAAAAAAGTCAGAATATTGACTTTTTCCCATAATAAACTGAAATATTTAAAATTCAGTTAACCTTTTTTTTTTCTTCAGAATTCTGACTAAATTCTGACAATAAATAAAGTCAGATTTCTGAGAAAAAAGTCAGAATATTGACTTTTTCCCATACTAAACTGAAATAATATTTAAAAATCAGTTAACTTTTTTTTTCAGAATTCTGACTAAATTCTGACATTAAAAAAAGTCAGAATTCAGAGATTAAAGTCAGAATTCTGAGAAAAAAAAGTCAGAATTTTGACTTTTTCCCATTTTAAACTGAAATAATGTTTAAAAAATCTGTTAACTTTTTCCCCCCAGAATTCTGACTAAATTCTGACAATAAAAAAGTAAGAATTTTGAGATTAAAGTCAGAATTCTGTGAAAAAAGTTAAAGTTCTGAGAAAAAAAAAGTCAGAATATTGACTTTTTCCCATAGTAAACTGAAATAATATTTAAAATTCAGTTAACCTTTTTTTT